CAACGCGTATCCGTAAATCGCAACGCGATATTTAAAGCGCCATTATAATCGCTACGCGTATTTTATTTTCAAATTACAAAAACGAATATTAAGACAAAATCCCGTAATCGCAACTCATAACCTAAAACCTAAAATCACAACTCAGTCCCATCTCCATCTCTCACTCTCTACGGCGAAATCCGTCCCCGTCTCCGAAGATTTCCGTCCCCATCTCCGGCGAAATCCCTCACAACCATTCACGGTCAGAAATCCCTCACAATATTCAGAAATGGAAAATCAACCTCCGAGGGTTAGTTTTTTTAATTATTTTTATTTTGAAATTTTTGCATTATTGTAGGTTTTTCATATTGAAACTGATGATAAGTTTACTGGTCATTTCAATAATAGATTAACCATTTCACTTAGATTTCATTTCGCGTTACGATTCTCTCGTTGCGATTTTCATTTCGCGTTGCTATTCTCTCGTTGCGATTTTCAAGTTAGTATTTGTCTTTGTCTTTGTTCTGTCTTTTGGTTGAAGTAATGCAATCCATTCAAGTTTCAATTTGCAGAAGAGTCGCAACGAGATAAATGAAAATCGCAACGAGAGAATGACTGTCGCAACGAGAGAAATGAAAATCGCAACGAGAGAATCGCAACGTGAAATGAAAATCGCAACGAGAGAATCGCAACGCGAAACCAAAATCGCATTGCGATTTTCATTTCGCGTTGCGATTCTTTCGTTGCGATTTTCATTTCGCGTTGCGATTCTCTCGTTGCGATTTTCATTTATCTCGTTGCGACAGTCATTCTCTCGTTGCGATTTTCATTTCAACCAAAAGACAAAACAGTGTTGCAAATTTTAGTTTCAAGAATAAACTACTACTTTTTATGTTTATTGTTTTTGGTATATCTTCACAGTGTAGTTTTTGGTATATCTAACTTGGTATGTTTATTGTTTTTGTAGAAATTTTTTTCGGCTTCATTGACATTAAGGAATAAAGTTAGCCTAGCCACTACAATTGCTTCGAAGCTTTCACCTGCTCAAAGACAATTGTTTGAGGAAACCTGCTTCGGGCCATGGCTGAGAGTACAGCATCCGGGTGGAGATGCTAATTTGACCCATTTGTGGCTTCAGACCATGACATCAAATCTACCCGACAGTATACAACGTGGTGAGGAAGAGATATGGTTTCATTTTCCACCAGCGTATACTTGTTTTGGGCGGAAGGAGTTCTGCTTAATCACTGGTCTACGATTCGGACACGATGATTTAATGTTTGTTTAATGTTTGTTTAAACTATATTTTAATGGTATATTTATGTTCATCATGGTTATTTGCTTGCTTTGCTTATGAATACTTCACCGTCTAGGCTTGTAAGAGACATGAGAGTGTCCATTTCTTATATGAAGGTTAGGTGTTCGAGAGAAACCTAAGCAAAAAAACTGGTAGTATTTGAGAGAAGCACAAGACAAGATCCTTATAAGCAATGGGCTATAGTATTTTCAAGGGGCTTTGAACCGGCCTAGGAATATTATATCTTAATCCCTTAGTACTTGAGCGAGACTAGGAGGATTTCAACGGCTAAAAAGGGTGTTTTTATCAATAGTGTGGTCTGTCAACATCGTTGAGTGAGAGCAGATGCCTTGGCATTCCATTCTGTTAGGTTCATCTGACTAGAGATAGTTGGAACACTTTAGGAAAACCCTGTCGAGTGAGTAAAGATTAGATAGCATAAATCTGCATGAGAAATAAGTTTAGCATCCTTAAATCAATCCCTATCATTTATTCCAGAGGAAGCTTGTCACGTGAGGATTATCTTCTTATAATTTTATCTACTGTTTTTACCATTTTTCATTGCCTTGACATTTCATCATTTTCAACACTAAACATATGTTCTTGCCACTGCATTTCCATTTGCTACACCATCAGACCATAAATCCATATCCATCAGCATACACATTTCCATTGCCGTGACATTTGTATATATAAAGACTAACTATACATAGATAGATTAGTGCTTAGCTTTGATTAGGCTTTTGTAATTTCACCCAATCGCTGTGGAGACGATACTCACTCATCACTTTATTATTTGAGCGATTGTGTATACTTGCACATTATTTGCGTATAATTTTATAGTACTCACAAAAACGCAACACCCATATACTTAAATAATTTTCGGAAATTTAATTATGTTTATTTTAATTCCTAAAACAAGTATGTTTTAGTTTGAATTTTCATATCTTTGTTGTTAATATTTTTATTTATAACAATGTGAATATAATATTTTAATAATTATATTGACATAAATAATATTAAATAAATTATTCTAATATATAAAAAATATTATTATTTTGTTAATAAATAATATTATTTATTGTATTTGATGATCATAAAGAATGTTTTAAAAAAATTGCCAAGTAGTGGAGAATGAATTACACAACATCATCCAAACACCGTAAAATGATTTCTACAAAATGTTTTCCAGGAAATGTAATTCATTTTCCTGAATCCGTTTTTTGTGAAACAAACGTAGGCTTAGTGATAAGTTAAGAATCTAATCTAAATGCTTTAGTAGTTAAGGGTGTGTTTTCCTGGATTGTAGACCCTAAACCTTGAGCCTTAAACTCTAAATCATGATCTATTAACTTTAGATCTCAAACCCTAAACATTATCCTAACCCTTGAACCTTAAACCTAAATCCTAAACTCAAAACTATAAACATAAAATTATAAACCTTAAACCCTTACACTTTAAACCATAAACCCTACACCCTAACCTAAACCTAAACACCAAAGCTTAAACCCTAAACCTTAGATCCAAACCCCAGCAGATCCTTTTCCACCAGCTTGTTCCACAATAAAGCTCATCGGTGCACACTCATACAGGAGCCTCAGCTTACCATTTTTGCTCTTTTTGTTTCTGAGATAACCGTAGATTCCACCATATAGCAGTGTCTGGTAGAAGTCTCCGACCAAGTTTCTAATGTATTTAGCAGAATAAGGCTTGCCACTAGGACCAGGGTCTTTGACATCGTCAATATACTTCTTCAACTTGTCATCCCACAATTGGTAAAAATAAAAATATCATGTTAGTAATTCTATTAAGTTTTTAACAACAGATTATCAAATTAAAACATAAATTAAACGTAAGGAATATCATCAGACTGATCCACACTGTCTTGTTTGATTACTCCGGTGCATGTAGACCAAGACTTGTACGAGAATGGGAGATCGATCCCCAGTTTTTCGGATTCTTGAGGTCCTTAATGAATCTCCAACTTTACTTTGTATGCAACCATTGTAAGACGATAACTTTTCTGGGGCTTGAGGCCGAAAAGAGACTGCGTAGAGTTAGGAAAGGAGTGTAGGCCTGTGATGGACTGGCAATGGAGGGAAGAGGGACAGATCATGGCACAGGAGAGGCTGGCGGTGGAGGCCATTTTTAGTGCACTGTGGCGAGGGAAAGGAAATGTGAGAATTTTATTAAGGTAGAGCAAACAACTTTGTTTTATAAAGGAGGATGGAGTTATTTTCTGTTCTTTGGAAGTTTCTTCAATTTTCTAGAACTGAGATTTTTTTATACAGTAGAACTGAGAATTAATTGGTGAATAAGAATACAACAATCCTCCAAGGGGGTCAAATCTGTCGAAACTCCAAATTTCTAGAACCGTGAATCGATCAATTTCGTCCAAACATTTAAAAAGTAATTTTAACACTAAAAATAATAAGAAAAAAATGCATTCATGTCAAATCAATCCGGTCCAATTTTAATCACTACAAGCCATGTTAATTCTCTTAAAAAATAACGAAACTTGGCAGCAGATCCTCCCCTTCACCAGAACTTCTGAAACACAATCAACGAGCATCAGTTACAAGCCATGTTAATTCTCGCAAAAAATAATGAAAACTAGGCAGCAAATCCTCCCCTTCACTCTATATGCATGTCTACGATATGAAGCAATACATATATGGGTAAACTATACCTTTTGTACCTAAACTATTACTTTTGTTCTGTTTTAATGCCCAAACTTTATTTTTTAAAATCAAACCTAACGTTTAACTTAGGTTTTAATTTGGTATCCTACTGTTAAAAGATTAACAAAACTGCTAACATGATATTTTTTTATTTTTTTCAATAATTGTGTGACATTATCTTATTGTGACATGTCAACATCACTGTTAAGTTTTTAAGGACGGTGTACCAAAATGAAATATAAACAAAACATTAGGTATGATTTTGAAAAAACAAAAAAATTTAGATACCAAAATGAAACAAAAATAATAGTTTAAATACTAAACATGTAGTTTACCTTATATATATGTTCAATAATAGAGAGGGCAAATTTTGAGAACAATATATCTCACCAAGTACTACATAAAGTAAGATTATCATCTCCAATTTTAGAGCTTCAAAAAAGGGGTTAAAAGTTTAATCTATTCTATAGATTCTTAAAGAAAATAATGTGTGTAAAACTGAACAAATATGAATTTTCACTAAAGTAAATGATGTTTCTGTGACATGTAGTATCAACAGAATATATTAGCATTGGTTCGAAGAAGATAGATATTATTCTAGAATGGATATAATCTGATAATAATTTTTAGATTCAAAATCTCTTAGACTTGTAAAATATTATCAGATCTTCGTTAAAGTCATTTCCATAATTACTGTTAGGCCGTTCATTTTTCAGTTTTAACGAACTTAACCGGTTGAATTAAATTTTAATTTGATTAATTGGTCATTTTAAAAGTCCTGAAATTCACATTAATAAAGAGAAAATTAGGACGAATCAAGGGAGTCCTCACGATAAACACCGCAAGGAACTCCGCATAGAATCCAACCGACCACTTTTAGAGGAAGAAAATAACATTGTGATATTCCTTGTAATTATCATCATTCATCATCCTAGCATTCTGTTCTCTGTCGTGCAAAACGAAAAGCAACATTCTGGAGTTTGAAGGAAAGTAGCAGTGGGATATTCCTTGTAATTACGAAAATACTTATAAATACTAAAAAAAGATTCTATCTCTTCAAAAAGCACTGGTTTTCATCTGTTATAATTTGAAGAAATTTCAATATTCCTTTACCCTCATCCAAATCTCACCAATCTTCATCGCCGCGAATTTCTAATTTTATAATGTGTTTCATATTAATTGTTACATGCTTTGATTTGTGAATAATTTAGGATTTTTGATTTATCTTATTTATTTGTAAAGAAAGGAAAAAGAGATGGATAAGTACGAGACGGTGAAAGACATAGGATCCGGGAACTTTGCCGTTGCGAGGTTGATGCGTAATAAATAAACCAAAGAACTCGTCGCTATGAAGTATATCGACCGTGGACAAAAGGTTCTATTCTCTCTCTTTCTCTCTCACACGCACACACACTCTCTCTCTCCTTTTTTTCTTACATTTGTCTTTCTCTCTATGAATTATTGTATGCATGCATGATGAAAATAAAGGATTGTTTCTATTTTTTAACGAAATCATTGTCTTTAGTTTTTTAGAAATTGAAATCTGCAGCTGAGTAAAACATTGATTGTTGTTTGTTACATGATTGAAAGCAAATTGGAAATTTGTTGCATTTTAACTTTGAACTGATTGATGAGAATATGGCTATAGAGATTATAAATCACAGATCGCTGCGTCATCCTAATATAATTCGGTTCAAAGAGGTATTAATTTTTCATTCTCTTATTATTATCTTTTTTCATCTTTATATGATTATAATTGAATTAACTATTTCTTTTTCAATTTTTCAGGTGATTTTGAATCCCACACTTCTTGCAATTGTAATGGAGTATGCAGCTAGTAACGCTGAATGATTCAGTGAGGATGAGGTTGGTTAGTTTTAGTTTTTGAAGCTTTTTACCAAAAACAGGAAACTAGAAATGTTTATTTTACTTTGAATTCACCGTGTAGTCAGCAGGACTATGTTCCCTCTATCCTCTCAATTTATACAGAAACTTGAATGAGATCAAATGCCTCAATATTGAACACTCATGTATTATATTTTTAGGTCAGAGATTGATTGCTAGTTGTTTTTTAACTTTATACTAATAAGCTTTTTCTCATATTGTGTCTGCAGGCTAGATATTTTTTCCAGCAATTGATCTCAGGAGTTAGCTACTGTCACTCCATGGTAACAAAGTTTTGACATTTCTCTCTATTGCATAATGTTAAAACTGCCTGCTTTTATATGTTTGTAATATTTTACATCATTTTTATTTCCAACAAATATGTCATCGAGATTTGAAGTTAGAGAATACCCTGTTAGATGGCAGTCCTGCTCCTCGTCTCAAAATCTGTGATTTTGGTTATTCAAAGCTGTAACCGAATGGGTCATTATTTATTACAGTAAGCATATTTAAATCCATGTTGCAATTGTTAAAGTTTAAGATATTCTTCCTTGTCCCCATTTTCCAGTCATCGCTGCTGCATTCAAGACCCAAGTCAACGGTTGAAACTCCAGCATATATTGCACCAGAAGTTCTTTCTCGAAGAGAATATGATGACAAGGTAATTTGGTGTTTATCCACTTTATCCAAATGTTTTTATAGCTGGTTCTTTATTACACTTTGTTATTTTAGTTATGATTATGTACTTATGATAAATGATCTTGTGTGCTAGAGTAAGTGATGCCTTTACATGCTGGTCTAAATATGAGCTTGATAAAAGATCAATTACTTGCTAGAAATCCACAAATATGGCATTATTAGAGCTAGTGCAGCTTTATGGAGTGGATTATTTTGTCACACCAAAGATAAACTTCAGCCCAAGTTTTAGCGAGTCTTTCCTAAATTTAGAATTTAATTTCTTTTCAGATGGAAGATGTGTGGTCGTGTGGAGTGACTCTTTACATTATGTTGGTTGGTCTTAAGAATTTTAGAAAAACCATTTTATGATTTCTTAAAGTTTATTTTTGTTAGGTATAGCTCATAAATATACCGAGAAAGTCTCGTAGTGGAGGTTACGATTATGTGGGTTGGGGGTGCGGGGTTGCAGCCCCGCGGTATGGTACATGATTATTTTTGTAAATATGTACCAGGGTTTATTTATTATAAAAGGAGATGTAACCTAAACCTATGAGACATTGAATTGAATAAAAAAACTAGCGTCGCCTAAGGCACCAATGACGTAAGCACATTGCTGAACCTCGTTAAAATTCTTGTGTTCTTTCTGTTTTCTTTACCCGATTATTCAACAATTGGTATCAGATGTCAAGAGCCAAATTCGAAGTTGCGAAATTCGATGGTCAGGGTTACTTCGGATTATGGAAAACAAGGGTGAAGGATCTGTTGGCGCAGCAAGGGATCCTGAAGGCTTTGCGACCTACAAAGCCAGCGTCGATGGAGGAGGAAGATTGGGAAGAATTTCATCAGTGAGTGACATGAACCATACGGTTATGTTTGGCGGATGAGGTCATGTATCTCGTCATGCATCTGACGTCTCCATATGAAATTTGGAAAAAGTTAAAAAATCAGTTTATGTCAAAATCCTTAACGACTAAATTGTATCTAAAGCAGCGGCTGTATGGGCTGAAGATGCAGGATGATAATGATTTGGCGCAACAGTGAATGTCTTCAATCAAATCGTTTCTGATTTGGCTCGGCTTGATGTGAAAATTGAGGATGAAGACAAAGTGATAATTTTGTTGTGTTCGTTGCCTCCCTCTTACGAACACATGGTGACTACTCTTACATATGGGAAATAGAATATCCAAGTTGAGGAGATTACTGCAGGCTTGTTGGCTCACAACTATCAGAAGCAGAATGCAGGGGAAAGCTCTCAAGCTGATAGCCTATATGTCAAGGGTAATCGAGACCGTGGACGGAAGGCAGAGAATGCAGGGTCTGGGAAGTGGAATTTCATATCCAAATCTAGGGAAAATAATACAATTTACTATTACAAGTGCAAGGATGCAGGACATATGAAGCAAGATTATCCGAAGTTGAAAAAGAAGACTGATGAGAAGCGTGATGACTCGTCCAAGTCTGTGAATGTGGTCGAGGATGACAATTCTGATTGCAGTGAGGGTGATATGTTCTCTATTTCAACGACTCAATTGACGGATGTTTGGATTATTGATTCTGGATATTTTTATCACATCACACCAAATAGGGAATGGTTTTCGACATACAGGTCGATTAATTCTGGTTCTGTTTATTTGGGTGATGATCGATGTTGCAATATTGTTGGTATTGGTGATGTCAGAATTAATATGTATGATGGCTTTGTTCGGACATTGAGTGGTGTTCGGCATATCCCAGATTTGAAGAAGAATTTGATTTCTTTTGGCACTTTGCACAATAATGGTTTTATCTCTAAGGATGATGAGGATAGGGAAACCATTCGAATTGTTAAAGGAGCTTTGACTATGATGAAAGGAAAAATGACAGCAGGGAATATTTGCAGATTGTTAGGGTGTACCATTTTAGGTGGATTTCATTATGTTGAGTCATGTGATGATACTACCAAACTGTGGCATATGCGTCTTGCTCATCTTAGTGAACGTGGTATGGCTGAATTACATAAAATAAATATGTTGCATGGTGTTAAAAGTTATAAGCTCAATTTTTGCAAGTATTGTGTTCTTGGTAAACAGACTAAAGTTCGTTTCAAGACTGCGAAGCACACAACTGAAGGGATTCTTGATTATGTGCATTCTGATGTATGGGGGCCTTCCACGACATCATCTCTGGGTGGATCTAGGTATTATGTTACTTTTATTGACGATTTTTCACGGAAAGTTTGGGTGTATTTTTTGAAACAGAAGTCTGACGTTTTTTAGAAGTTCAAGCTGTGGAAAGCTGAGGTAGAAAACCAAACGGGACAAAAAATCAAGTGTTTGCGGTCTAACAATGGTACAGAGTACACAGATTCACAGTTTCTACACTTCTGTAAGGAGCATGGGATTAATAGGCATCTTACAGTCGCGCAAGACACCACAACATAATGGTGTTGTGGAACGGATGAACAGGTCGTTGAATGAAAGAGCTAGATGTTTGTGGTTGAATGTGGGGCTTCCCCTGAGGCTGTTAACATGGCGTGTTATCTTATCAATAGATCGCCAAGGGCATCACTGGCTGGGAAAGTTACATAAGAGGTATGGACTGGTCATGATGTTACTTTTGATCACTTACAGATTTTTGGTTATCATGCTTATGTGCATGTACCTGCTGATGAGAGATCCAAACTTGATGCAAAATCGAAGGAGTGCATTTTTTTGGGTTACAAGAAAGGTGTCAAAGGATTCAAGTTCTCGGATCCAGTTGCGAAGAAATTTGTGATTAGTAAGATGTTGCTTTGATGAACAACCCATGTTGCAGGAGAAGAAAGACACGACAGTGGTGGATTTTGAGCAATCTCCAGTTGAGAAAAGAAACTTCTCAACCGACTTATGGTGGTTCCGCTAAGGATGATTTGCAGGATTATAGTCTCGCCAGAAACAGGGTGAGACGGACGAATATAACAAAGGTTTTGTATTCTAATGATGTTAGCTGCTTGATGTATGCAATGGTATGTACTCGTCCTGATTTAGCTCATGTTGTTAGTCAAGTTTGTAAGTACATGTGTAAACCTGGTAAGCAACATTGGGAAGTAGTCAAGTGGATCTTTAGGTACTTAAAGGGTACTATGGGACATGGAATTATTTTTGGTAGTCAGCGGGATAATCCTTTGGTTGTAGGATATGTGGATTCAGACTATGCGGGTGACTTGGATAATAGAAGATCTACGACATGGTATGTCTTTACTCTTGGTGGAGGGCCTATTTGTTGGAAGTCTATTGTTCAATCTGTTGTGGCATTATCTACAACTGAAGATGAATACATGGCAGCGGTTGAAGCTGTAAAAGAAGATTTATGGCTTACTGGTTTAGTGAAGGAGTTGGGTGTTCAGCAATGTGGAGTTTAGTTGCTTTGTGACAATCAAAGTACTATTCACTTGGCTAAGAATTAGGTATATCGTGCTAGAACTAAGCATATTGATGTAAGGTTTCACAAGATCAGAGAGTTAGTTGCATCTGTAGAGATTTTGTTTCAGAAGGTACATACTGAGGAGAATGACGCTGATATGTTCACCAAGCCAGTTACGACAGACAAGTTCATGCATTGCTTGGACTTGTTGAGTGTTTCGAGTTGTTAAAGAAGTAAGGTAACCCAACCCACATTGAATGTTTCCTAAGGGGCAGGATATTCGCCAAGGTGGAGATTTGTTAGGTATGACTCATAAATATACCGAGAAAGTCTCGTAGTGGAGGTTACGATTATGTAGGTTGGGGGTGCGAGGGTTGCGGCCCTGCAGTATGGTACAAGGTTATTTTTGTAAATATGTACCATGGTTTATTTATTATAAAAGGAGACGCAACCTAAACATGTGAGACATTGAATTGAATAAAAAAACTAGCGCCGCCTAAGGCACCGAAGACGTAAGCACATTGTTGAACCTCGTTAAAATTCTTGTGTTCTTTCTGTTTTCTTTACCCGATTATTCAACACTTTTCTTAATCCGCTACAGAGGATAATGTCAGGTTCAATACAAAATCCCAGACTATGTTCACATATGTCAAGATTGCAAACACCTCATTTCTCGCATATTTGTTACTAGCCCCTCCAGGGTATATCCTCCTATTAATGACATTGTTCAAGGATCTCCATGAAATAATTTGAAAGTTAAACAACATTTTGGTTAGTGTAGTAAAAAATCTTTTTCCCCGTTATTTTTGTTTATTGGTTGGTGTTTATTAACATTGTATGAGCCTTGTTGTGTGCGTTGCCGTGCGTGCATATGTATATTTTCCCATTATTTTGCTGGTGCTAAAGCAGAGTCTTGCAAACTGTCTCCTTCTTTCAAGGTACAATTGGTCATAATCCGCAAATAAATGTTTGCTGGTAAATGATAAATTATAAGGTGGAGGCTTATACTTTTGTGCGAATGAAATGGAGGGAGACGTGAAACATGAGAGCCATCATCTTTAAATTGCCTTTCTAAGGGTTGTTGTTTATAATTACTTTTCATCCATTTATCACCGTTGACAAAGAACTGGTTTTCTATTTCCTCTTTCTGCTTTCGGCACTCACTGTTTCAATTCCTATTTTAACAGCGGATTGCCATCAAAAATATCAGGAGTCATCCATGGTTTTTGAAGAACTTGCCCAGGGAACCGACAGAGACAGCTCAAACTGCCTATTACAGGAAAGAAATCCCTACTTTCTCCCTCCAAAGTATCGATGAAATCATGAAAATAGTAAAATAGGCCAAAGTTGCTCCTCGAGTATTGCGGTCTATCGGAGGGTTTGGTTGGGGTGGAGAAGAAGACGGGGGTACAAAAGAAGAAGATGTAGAGAATGAAGAAGAAGAAGATGAGTATAAGAAGACAGTAAAAGAGGTACATGCCAGTGGAGAAGTTCATATCTCATAAAAGGAAAAAAAGTAATATATGATTTCCAACTGACTGAGTTTTGATGGCACTGAGAGCTTATATATAAATATGATGTCAGTTTTTTTATAACCTATAGGACCTGGTTTTGAATAAACAATCTGTAAATTAGTGTGCTTTGAACAAGAAGTTTTTGAAGTCTTTAATACGATTGTTAGGGTGACTTGGTACCGGAAGATCGGAAACTAGTAGGATTTGAAGTGTACCGACTTGGTAAATTCAGTGGGTCTACACTAAAATGGAAGACCCGCGAGTCTTGTAAGTTTTATTTCTTTCCATCCTAAATTGGAGTTGGTATGATATGTCTAGAGTTGCGAGTTCCCCATAAAATTTACCAATCTAAATTAACATTTTCTCTATTGTTATTTCTCTTCTTCTTCTTTATAATATTATTTAAGTTTTTGACTATGTTTTAGTCACCTACCAACTCAATTATAAAAATATTGAAAGCTCTTCCTCTTAAAT